GAAAAAAATTTTAAAAATCAGAAAAACTAAAAAAAAAAAAAAATCCTGGTACATGAAATAAAGATTTTTTTTTATAGCTTGGTCCTCACTTCAGTGGATTTCTTTCATTGGTTTCCCAGTTCTTGGCATTCCATTTGCAGCAATCCAAGGCCACGGATTCTCAGAGCTGGGGGATGGGAGGCTTAGATGCCATCATCATGAGCCCTCTCTGAAATATCCCTTACTGAATCTGCATGCCTCCAGGGACAAGGGGCTCACCTCCCCCAAAGGCAGCACCAGCCAATGCTAGGCAGCACCCAGCAGCAGCCTCCTCTGCATGGCCAAGGTCAAGGCCAATCCATATCTTCCCTCACACTCCAACAACTCGAGCAAACCTCCCCAGTTTCAGCATGGCAGCCCAGGTGGGCCCATGACATCCTTCAGCTTCCTCTTTCAGAATAAAGGAGCCCCACTCAACATCCCAGGCATGGCCTTGGGTTTCTGTTTTCCCTTGGAGAGCTGCACCCCGGAGTGGACATGACCTTGACCTTGCCAACTTATTCTGCATCCTGCCTAAAGAGAGAGATTGCTCAAGGGGACCATGAGGTGGCAGAGAGTGGAGAGGGTCTTGTGGGACCATCTGGAGCTCTCTCAACTTGAAGAGATGGGACACCAACGAGAGAATCTGACCCTTGACATTGGAAAAAGGCCCTATTCGAGAGCAGTTAAAGAACTAGGCCACCACCACCCAGCTGGACCAGCAGACTGCCAGGGCCAGTGATTTGAAGGAGGGCTTAGCACCTCTGAAAATGCTCTGAATACATTTCATTAATTCATTTGATCCTTAAAAAGCTGTCATGCTGAAGAGGATGGGGGTGGAAAGCCAGTGTTTCAAAATCAAATCAACACGTAAGCAAACAAAAACTTGATGCATCTGTTGGCAAAAAATTTTTTTTCTTGGTATCAGGGATTGAACTCAGGGACACTCAACCACTGAGTCACATCCCCAGGCCTATTTTGTATTTTATTTAGAGACAGGGTCTCACTGAGTTGCTTAGTACCTCACAGTTGCAGAGGCTGGCTTTGAACTCGGATCCTCTTGTCTCAGCCTCCCCAGCTGCTGGGATTACAGGCAAACATCACCATGCTCGGCCTGTTGGCAAATCTTAAAACACCCACCTGCCCTCCTTCCAGTGCTTTCTTCACCCACCTCCCCATTTCCTTACTGAATTTATCATCCTGGGTCTTGAAGGTCAGGTAGGAGCTCACCACAGATGCCATGGTGAACCACAGGGAAGAGAGCAGCCCAGCGGCACTGTCAGGGCACAGTGCTCAGGACAGAGGAACAGGTTGCCTCCCGCCCAGCAGACATCAATTGGCACACACCAAAAAGGCTCTGAGGTCTCGTTAGTTAGGATGATTGGGACTCACTGACCTGGTTATTTTAATATTGTCATTTGGAGGTCCAGAAAAGTGACCAATGGAGGGCACCAAGTCACCTTAGAAATAGCCAGGGTCAACTGCCTAGTAGCAGGGCCTGGGGAGTACCACACGCTACAGTCCCAACCCTGACGCCAGGGCTGCATCAGAAGCCTGAGGGAGTAGGGGTCTTGGGGAGGGGAGAGGTTGTCTGAGGTTAGGGAAGGAAGCTCGGCCACCAT